TGATTCCCTAACCAAGTTCTGAGGGGTCTCTGCCATCATAGATGATTTTGCCCTGACCCCGGCTCTCTGAGTACAGGAATGAAGACGTCAGTATATTCATGGTCTGGCTGAGGAGTCAAACACACACAGATATGCGTGGTTGAGAGTTAGTGCTGCCTTGGAAGATTGAGTGAGGTGCTCCAGGTGCGTTAGGGGCCAATCTGTCTGGTGGGGCGGGGAGGGGGTAGCTGGGGAGGTGGGCAGAAGTGTTTACAGGGAATCCACAGAATTTTTGAGACATAAAAGGTGGGTAGAAAAATATATATACATATACATATATATATTTGTTTGTTTATTTGTTTTCATTGCTACTGCATGTGGGTAAATTATGGGAGGAGATGGAGATCACATCAGGCCACTTTCTGAAGGGTCTTCCTCATATAAAAGGCTGAGATTTGAAGGGGATTTTTGTGGCTGTTGATAATTGATGCCAAACGGCAAAAGCATTCTACATCCATGTGTGTTGTGGGAAGGTCTATGAGACAGCACACAGCAGTAGGAGACAAAACCAGAGGCGAAAGAAGCTGTAATAAAGCCAGTGCAGGAGGCAGACATGATCCACTCCTTCCTCTGTCCCTGCTGTGAGCACAGGGCCCATCCAGGAGTCGAGGCAAAAAGTGCTTGTTGAATCATAAACTGACAAATCATCAAAAGAGGGCTCCCGGGCTTCCCCGGTGGCGCAGTGGTTGAGAGTCCGCCTGCCGATGCAGCGGACACGGGTTCATGCCCCGGTCCGGGAAGATCCCTCCCACGTGCCGCGGAGCGGCTGCGCCCGTGAGCCATGGCCGCTGAGCCTGTGCGTCCAGAGCCTGTGCTCCGCAACGGGAGAGGCCACAGCAGTGAGAGGCCCGCGTACCGCCCCAAAAAAAAAAAAAAAAAAGAGGGCTCCCGAGACAAAAGGCATGGAAGCAGCCATCACTGAAAAGTCGAAAGAGTTTTCACTCACCATGGAGCTGGGAGAGGGAATATTTTAGGCCTCCAGGGTCTGAGAGATGAGGCAGAGGACAAGGGCTGAAAAAGCAGAAAGTCCAGACTCAGGACCTCTGCTGAGCTCTAGCTGGAGTGCAAAGGGGCAACCTCAAGGCCTGAGGGGCTTAGAGTGTCTCAGAGATCCAATCCAGCACCATCGTCCAGGCTTGGGGTCCTCCCTCACCCCTGGGGAGAGCACATTCTAGCTCAGGCTACATTTATCACCCAATCCTCCCCATCAGCTTTTTAGAGAGCTGTTTTCCACTGGCTCATCCTTGCCCTCTTCCCCAGTCCCTTGTCCCATGCTTACCCCCAGCTGCTCCCTCTCAGAAGGGGGAGGTTCGTCTCAAGACAGGGCCAAAAAGGACCACTCACTTGACCAAGTTGACCAAGTGCTTCATAATATAGATAAGGGACCCTCTTCTCTGTCTTCTGACTCAGAGATAAGATTTTCTCTTTTCTGCCAAAACGTAATAAGCCCTCTGTCTGTGCTAACAATCCCTCTAACCATTCGTTCATTCGTCCCCTTAGTTATTCACCAACAAGTATTTATTGAACATAGACACTATTCTAGGCACTGGGACGCACCATCGAACATGAAAGGCAGGATCCAGGCTCTCACAGAGCTGACACTCGAGAAGGGGAGGCAGAAAATGAGCATCAAGCAAATAAATGAACTAGAAGATCTCAGAGTAATAAGCGCTCCGAAAAAAACAACAAAAACAAAAACAGTCAAGTAGTAAGTGCTCCACAACGCCTCTTGGGTTACCTTTCGCAGCATACTTCAGACCAACCACCCAAGGGCCTAGGCCAAAAACCCAGGAAGCATCGTGGACTCAACCCTCTCACTCATTTTTCACATTCAATTATCTGTCCCAAAGCCACGTGTATTCCAATTCTCAGTGACTCTGAAATCCATCTGTCCTCCTCCATCTCCCTGACACTTCATGCAGACACCATCCATCACTTATTGACCAATTTATTGCAGTATTTCCCTGATTAGCGTTCTCTCTCTAGTCTCGTCCTCTTCCTGCACGTCATGCCCCTGCTTAAAAGCGTTCAATGGTTCTCAACAGTTTCTTCAGTCAAGTTCAACGCCCTTAGCCTAGCACGCAAAGTCTTTCCTTATCTGGGTGCTACTGAACCCTTCAGCCTTGTTTCCCTGCACTCACCTGCCCCACGCAGCTTCCACTCAGCCATCACTGCAGATCTACATGTGGAAGTGCTACCTGCCTTTGACCTGCTGCACCCTCACTTAAGGCGCCCTCTGCTTATCGTTCTCTAACTTCTTTGTTCAAAGGTCAGATCAAATGTCACCTCATTTTGGAAGACCCATGGAGTTTTTACAAGGATTACATTGAAAAGATATATGAGGGGCTTCTCTGGTGGCACAGTTGCTGGGAATCCACCTGCCAATGCAGGGGATGTGGGTTCGATCCCTGGTCTGGGAAGGTCCCACATGTTGCCGAGCAAGTGGGCCCATGCGCCAGAACTACTAAGCCTGCGCTCTGGAGCCCGCATGCCACGACTACTGGGGCTCATATGCCTAGAGCCCGTGATCCGCAATGGGAGAGGCCACTACAATGAGAAGCCCGCGCTCCGCAACAAGGGGTGCCCCCCGCAACCCCCCACCCGCCGCTTGCCGCAATTAGAGAAAGCCTGCACGGCAATGAGGACCCAATGCAGCCAAAGATAAATAAATTAAAAAAAGAAAAAGAAAGAAAAAGAAGATACGTGAAACCCTTAGCCCAATAACGGCATTAAGCTTATGTCTTATTTACCTGATGAAATTTCTTACATTTGGGGCAGGCATAATTAGCATATAAATAACGTTCTCCTATTTGCAATGAAACCACGTCAGAATACAGCCTCTGAGGTGGGGAACTTGTCTCCCTCATTGTTTTAATGAAATGGAAATTTTCCTTCTCATTTATGTTTTTGTTGCTTGATACTTGCTATTATCATTTGAGCTCCTAACCATTATTCTTAATGGCCTGGAAGTGATTCTGATGGATCCCAAGATTGGAGACAAATACCTTGAATATATCATCATCCCAACAGAATACACAATAATAATGCACTGTAGTTCCTGGCCCTGAGGGTCGGCTGTTGCCATGTCCAATTTCACGATGTTTCTGGGCACATTTGCAGCCTCTCCCTACACCCAGGGCACTGGGAGAATCCACCAACCTGCCACTCTTCGTGGCAGGGGACCACACACCTCTCTCAACCCAAGGTCTATCTCGAGATGCCCTTCCTGGGCTGACTTCTAACACCACAGCCCTGATCTTCTATGGGGGCTTTAGGAACTCTCTGGGAAAGGGAAAGCTGCTTTCTGAGAATGGATTTTCCTTTGGACACCTGTGCCCCGATAAGGTTTCTCTCCCAGCACATGCCCACAAGAGCACATATCCAGTTCTTACTGGGTCAGACCCCCTACCTGTGTGGGAGCTGTCTCCGAGGGTGAAAGTCCCCAGAAGGGGTAATAAGAGACGCAGTTCTCTTACTTGCATTCAGCAGTGTTCGGATCCTTTTCTCCTCCTCAGCTCCTTGGACTTGCTTTTCTGCCAGCATCTTGTCCTCTGACTCTGTGCACACCTCAGCCTCCCGCAGGTACTCCAGGTAGTCGATCTCCCGCTGGGCACGTTCGACTCTCAGGGCCAGGTTATGGACCGCACTCTTGTACTCACTTGTGTACGTCTGACATCGTCCCAGCATAACGGATATGTTTTTTGAGAACTCTCGGAAATCTTGAATGTATTCTCTCGTTGCTTGGGTACATTTCTGCAGTCCTTGCTTCAGTCAGAAAATAAATTCCCAAATTACTGCCAGTTATTTAACTTGTCCAAATAATATCAACAGCTCTCGTTCACAGGAAAAAGACTTTTAAAATACAGATAGTCAAAAGGGGGGGAAATAAAAATCACCCACAGTTCCTTAATTCAAAGGACTATTGACACTTTAGTGTACAAATCTTTAAAAGTTTTCCCATGCACGTAGTCATACATATATAAACATATTTTTTAATGTGATTTCGCCACATGTATGTTTTATAACATATTTTTAGCTTGCTGATATATCGTGAACATATTTCAATACCAATTAATATGTATCTATGCCATAATTTTAATGACACAATTCCATTGAATTGACATCCCATTATTTATTCCATTAGACTCTTTTTAATGGACATTTATGTAGTTTTCAACGTTCTGCCATTCAAACAATGCTGAAGACAATCTTTGTCTTTACATATTTGTGTATTTCTCTGGTTATTTTCTGAGGATACATTTCCAGATGTGAGCTCCATCCCCAGCACCTGCACAGGGCCTGGCACACGGTCGTACTCAATAAATAAGTAAATGAAGGATGGAAATGGGAGGGGTTGCTGGGTCAAACAGCATGTAGACTTAAAGACCATTTGGCGGTTTACCAAAATGCTCTCCACAAAAGTTGTAAAAATATTAAAATATACTCCAAACAGCAGGATACAAGACTGTTCATTGATGAATGAAAGAGAGAGAGAAAGGTGGGGGGAGAGAGAGTGTGTGAGAGGAACGGAGGGAAGGAAGAAGGGAGAGACAGAAATAGGGAGAGAGAAACAGAAAGGATGAGAGGGAAAGA